CATCATTTTATATTTTCAAAGATTGTCTTTAGCAGTAAAAATTGAATGTTCCCACTCCCAGATCAAAACACACACATCCATATTTTCCCTGACCCGCCCCTCCCCCCAATCTGGGTTAAATGGTTCGTTCCTGTTTGCGCTTCAGAGTGACGCTGTTAGCAGCAGCCAGTGCAAGACACGGATGTTTGTGGCAGTTTGTGCTGCTAAGAAAAGTTAGAAAATCAGGTTTTCAAAAAAAGAGAGGGAGAGTGAAAAAGGCAAGAGTGTTAATTTATAACCCAGTTTTCTCAGAGAGGTGGGTAGACTGTGTGAGATTATCAACCACTTAGCATAATTAGCTTAGCTACAGACTACTGTTTCCCTCCTTTTCACTAGTATTTAATGAATTAAGGAAAAATATTACCAAGATATTCATATATTTAACTTGTCCATGTACCTTTTACCGCTTAGCAGATGAGTCAGTCAGCAGCAGTTATAATCCACGTCCCTCCTGACCTGCCCTCTCCTTAGTGAAATTAAAGCTACAGTATGTAACACACACACACACACACACACACACACACATTTTTTAAACTGTCATTATGTTGTGACAGCATGGTATGAGGTAATCTGAAAAATCTATTTTCTCTGCCTTCTCCCAGTGCTACATTTTCAAGGGAAATGCAAGTGATCAGGTGAATTTGTAAAGACTTAAACGTATATCAGTTTGTTTATAGATTAAATTAGTTTCAACTTTAAACAAAGATCTTTAATAGTAAACAGCCACAGCAGAAAATAGAAACATTATACAACACAAGTGACACATCAAATTATTGGAGACATTTTCTAAATAAGACATGTTAATTTATTTGAACAACTTTTATATAGACGGGTTAATACAATTTGAAACAAATAACAGCATCAGTTTCAGTCTAGTTTTGCTTTAAGGACAAACCTCTCAAAAAAATTTTATATAGTAAATTTCAATTTTGGATTAAGAATGTTTTAAAGTAAACCTCATTCTCTCCATAGAGAATAATACAAATCAATACTTCAAGTTCATCTTGTACATCTCTAAGAATCTACATGTCAAGATCCAAATTATCACATTTAAATTAAAAAAATTAAACAATTTTCCCACTTTATAGACAAGAAAGATTACTTTTATAATGATCCTCAGTATAGGACATATATGAAAAATAGTTCTACGGCTTTTCACCAGTGTGAATCATCATGTGCCGAGTTAAACTAACTTTGTGACTAAAACTTTTTCCACAGTTCCCACATGAAAACGGCTTTTCACCAGTGTGAATTGTCATGTGCCGAGTTAATAGCCGTTTTTGACTAAAACTTTTTCCACAGTTCCCACATGAAAATGGCTTTTCACCAGTGTGAATTGTCATGTGCTGAGTTAATAGCGGTTTTTGACTAAAACTTTTTCCACAGTTCACACATGAAAATGGCTTTTCACCAGTGTGAATCATCATGTGCCGAGTTAAACTAACTTTGTGACTAAAACTTTTTCCACAGTTCCCACATGAAAATGGCTTTTCACCAGTGTGAATCATCATGTGCCGAGTTAAACTAACTTTGTGACTAAAACTTTTTCCACAGTTCCCACATGAAAA